CCCCAAAACCCCAAAACCCCAAAACCCCATGGAACATAGATTTTACAATATTCCAGATAGATTAATATTTTAAAAACTTATATATTGTCTAGCTAAATTATATTTAAATTTAAATAATTTCAATTGAAGAAGCTATGGATATTACAATGAAAAAGACGAATGCCAAATCGAAGTAAAGTTAAATACTAGGAAGCTATACAGCCTAAATTTTTTGGTAAAAACCTTTCTCATAATTTTATATAGGTAGCTAATAAGCAACAATGCTGTGTCAGATAAGATTTATGCATTATTCATGGTACTAGATTTTATATTCCAAATTCTAGTAATTGAAAATCTTTATTACTGAAATTACAAATCGGGGTAATAAAGTGAGGATCGCATACTAGATGTTTTGATAAAAGACACTACAAATTCCATTAAGGTACTGAAAATCGCCTTAATTTTCAGCTTCCAGATGATAACTATCATTTCTGCTATTGGTTTAAAGATTACGTCTAATTAATTCAGCCAATCTCAACAAAAAAGGCATATAGTTATGACTTTATCTTTCTTACTTGCAGCATTCAGATCATTTTTATTCACCTTTATATTGAACTACACAATTTGGAATATAATTAATGAGTTCAAGATTTAAGCCACCTCGTTAAGTGTCCTTTAGATAATTAGTTTTATACTCTTAATATTTCTTGGCTGGAATATAGCATTATTTTATAACCTATACGTACCAAATAAGATCATTACATGGTCAGAAAATTCATCATAGCCTATAATAATGGAGATGCTAATAAAATTACTTATAGCTTTCACGAATTCTGTTTCTGATTCTCAAGCTATTGAATACTCACTGATATTCGTCATTAACTTAGCTCTTTTAGGACAATTGATTTTAAGACTTTCTCGTACAGTAATTTGGAATAAACTCATTTATATTTTAGAAACTTTTAAAAGTGGAGTGTATCTTCATTATCTATTTTTGTTATTGTTTTCTGAGGCTTTTGATGACAAAAACTATTTCATTTATGCGAGCATTCTTTTAATATTTACCTTACTACTTATCTATATTCTGATAAAATATTTAAGATACAGTCTAATGATGTTAAAATATGACATATCTAACTCCGATTAGCATTAGTAAATGCAGTTTCTTTCAGCCCTGGTATTATATACAGCCCAAGAAAATGAATAATTAAAAGCACTAGTCAAGTAAGCTAGATTTAATCATTTGCTATATTGTAAGGAATATTTCAATGAACTTAATGATGATTTAACTGAAAAACGTAGTAAAAGAATTCAATCTTACAATCAATAATCTTCATTAGTTAGAGGATATACTTCAAACAGTAAAAGTTCACCTAAAAAGCTTGAATCTATGTCTTTAGATTTGTCCAACATAACTTTTGGAGGACTTAAAAGATAAAATACGATTGTTAAAAAGTAGAGATTGTAAAAGCTTGAGTTAATAAAAGTAGAAAGCCATAAGTAATCAGAGATGAAGAAACTAGAATCTGTAAAATAGCAAGAATCTGCTGAAAAAATATACAGATTGGGATCTATTTAACTAGATTAAATTAGATTTGAAAATTAAAATATCAGTAAAAATATCCATTGACAAGCCAAATCAACAATTCATCTATTTAAAAAAAAATCAAGGCAACTTATGAATTTTCTAAATGTCGAAAAATAATGTGCAGAGGATGAAATATCAAGTTTCAACATTGAAGAAGAAAAATTAAATCAATTGGATGATTATTCTTATTAGCAAGAGTAAATAGGAGAGAACCCATTGCTACTGGATAAATATAAAGTTTTAGTTAATCATTATTTCAAAGATCACTATAAAGAAATACATAATCCCAACTATAAGCTTGTATTGCTTAGAACTTATGAAATACTAGAGATACAAAAAAATCCATTCTTATCTCACATTCATTTAATGGATATTCTGAGAAAATCTAAAAAGGAAAATTATATCATAAGCACAATAAACATCCTTCATGCCAAATACTATGAAAATATTCTATAAGCTAATTATCCACAACTATTAAAAGAACAACAAATACGAATTGAAAAAATTGTGGATGCTGAGAAAAGTTTGACTAAATTTATCAATTACCTTCATCTTATCTCTGAAAACATTATATAATTTTGGCAAAATCTAGTATAACTTAAAGACAATATAAGTATATACGATCTAGGAATTAAAATTTCTCGAAGGCTTCAGAAAATAAAATAGATTTATTAAAATATAGAAAATTAGTAAAGAATAAGTATAAATTAATAGATGTATCTGCTAATGAGTGGATTTTTCTAATAGGTAATGTTCAAGCAAAACGAATGTATAGATGAGCTTAATAAGTATAAGGAGGTAAGTATTAGATCAAGATTAAATAATTCTGAAAAACTAATGGACCAAGACATTGAATATGGAGTTATAGTATGTGATTTTGATTCTAAAAAATCTATCAAAATGAGGTTCATAAATAAAAAAGCTTAAGAATTGAGTCTATATACGTAAGATGAATTAAAGCAGTCTAAGATCAACATTCTTATGCCCTAAATAATTGCTGAAAATCATCATAAATTTGTAAAACATTTCATGGAAACTGGGAAATCATCGATAATTTCTAAACCAAAGCCATTGCTAATGAAATAAAAAGATGGGCATATAGTTCATATAAAGGCTTAAGTTCTATTAAACAGTAATAACTTTACATAACTATCGATAACTTTTTTCCCATATGAGGATCATAAACCATTTGAAACTGAAGATGATGTCCTTAGAAAGCAAGAATATGGAATCTTAACTATAGATTAAAATTTGAAAGTGATGGAGATATCTTAGAGTTGCTATCATATATGTGGATTAAATTAAAAAACTTTTAGGAAAATTGTCGAAGATTCCATAAATTTCATCTATCTGCAGGACCTATTTCACTTTGAAGGGGATAGTTTTTTCTTTTAAAATGAGTTTCTTAATGGCAAACTCTTTGAAAAAGTAACAAGAAAATATGATGATTAAATTTAAGATGATAACGATGAAGAGGATTTTAAAATATTAAAAAAGCATTAAAGCTCAAATCTAAAGTTATAAATTTAAGTTTAATTACTACAAAGTGCTAATCTCTCTACTTATAATGATATGGACTCATCAGAGCTAAACTTTTCACTAATTTGTGAAGTTGAATCCTTGCTAGATGGAGAGGTGAAATTTCCGATAGTTTATATCAAGAGAAACCAAAATAATGAGATGAGAAGTAGACAGATAGAGAGGGAAAAACTATTATGACAAAGTTAGCTGGTTTAATAGACTCCGAGTAGATTGTAAGATTCATCCTTAAATCACACTAGTGAGGAGCACTCATCAATCAACAAGTTTATAGATTTTCATTCTCAATCTTCTCAATCTTCAAATAGTCAATCAGATTCAACTAATACAAATCAGCTAAAATTTAACGATGTTTTACAACGATAAAGTACTCCATCCACACTGAAATATATTTCTTACATTTTCATTTTAGTTTTTGTACTAACTATCGCAACAAGTGTTATAGAGTTTACTCTTACTTATTTAAATTTAAAAGAATCTAGTAATGGACTTCATGTCACCTATCTAGCTTTATAAAGATTAAATTGTTTCAGAATAATTAGACCTGCAATTATTAGCTTACTATTGATTGGGAATGGGATTTAAGTAAATTAAAATGATGTTTTAGAAGATAGATTTTAATTTTATTAAGATCTTTTGGATTTTTAGACAGAAAAATTTAGAAATTTCTAAATTTAACTGGAATAGCTATAAATTCTTGGATTTGCTAATCTTGAATTAGAGAATATAGATTATTAGAATAATTTTCATAACAAGACTTATGGAGCATCTTAGTCAGTATACTTATATCTTTCTTCGATTAATGATATCACAGATGATATCAAGTAAAAAGGTTGAAAAGCTATCCAAACTAGTAATCCAAAGATAATGAACTTTATAAGATTATAGGTTACTAATTCTGCTACAAAAATGGATTAAACTCTTTATATGATTTTAAGAAATTAAAATCACAATCTATACAATAATGTCAGGTCATTTGCCAGAACCTACAATGCTCTCTAAAAGGACATAATAGATAAGACTTATTATACAGAGACATTAACATATGCATGCATCTCGTTGATATTAGGTTGTGCCTTAATTGCTAGTCCTTTCGCATTAAAATTGACAAATAGGATCGATAAACTTCTAAATCTATTTCTTAATTCTCCAAAAGAATTAATAGAAAAAAATATCTAATAGATAAATGGATTTCAGAAAGTAATTTAAAGCAATCAAAAGGAAGAGATACTTGAGCAATTTATCAATAAAGGTTTTAATAAGAATTCTATATCTACGGATAAAAGCTTAGTCCTGAATTCAACTAAGTCGGTGTCTTCTTATACAAAATCTTTTAAAGAATAAAAAAAAAGTAAAACAAGAAAAAGCAAATCGAATTTTGTAACAAACAAACATGCTCATAAATTCAGCTAATAAAATAAATAGAACTCTTAAAATGATGCTGACGACTTAGAAAATGATCAAGTTAAAAAAGAAGAAATTGAATTAGAAGATAGTTTCAAAAATGATAGATCTGAACAAAAATAGAGAAGAAGAATGATCAAGTAAAAGATCTAATTCCAGCTAAGAAAAAAATTAATGAAATACTTAATATCAATATCAGTGAGTGCATTTCTAGTTTGTGGATATTTCTTAGCTTTTCACTTCCTTTCAACTCAAACGTTTTTAAATATTAGCGGAGAGATTGATGTAATTAAAGCTGCATTCTCTAGAGTAACATCAAAGGATAATATGCTTTTTGGTATACTTGACGCCTATATAAATAATAAAACTATACTTATTAATGGATTTTAAGAACAAATAAATTACTACAATAGAAGGGGATATGAGGAGGAATAAGATTATTAAACATAACTGTTTCAGAAATAAAATCCATAGGTACCTGATAGCATGAAGCTTTATGAGGTTTATGATTAGAAGGACTTTTGTAGTAAAGCTTTTTAGAGGAAAGTTGTGGTCAATGATTCCTTTTCAGTAAGCGTAGATTATTGTTAAACAGCAGGTAAAGGTGCACTCTAAAATGGCATATTAGCTTACTTCTATCAAATGCTTTAAAAGTACCAGTAGATTTAATTATTCTTCAATGCAACAAAAAGAACAGAAGATGTTATAAAGTAAACTATTGGCTCTAAAGATTTTACAACTTTGACTGACTTAAATTTAAGGATAGTCTAGCAAGCTTGGGCTGACCTTGAATTAAAAACTTATAACGAAGTGAAAAATTTCAATGAATAAGAAAAGACTAAATACATAATTCTATTTTCATTTTTCGTAGCTATTATCATAACTGTTTTGATTCTATTTTTTACAAGTAAGTTTTAATTATATTAATTATTATAGGGGTATTTAAGAATATGAGGATAGAAATGTTAAATTCTAATAAAATGCTATACTTGATGAACTACGAAGCTCTTGACGAACAGCATAGAAATAATATAGAAATATTTTTAAAGAAATATTGATTAATATAAATTTGTGAAAATCACATTTAATCATGATGATTCTGTTTCATGGGGTTTTGGGGTTCATCAAGTATAGCATTTTATTA